TCCTACTAAGGCCATAAGGGGGCCCAAAAGTTAGAAATAAAGAAAAACTGGTCTTTATACACTGATGATTTAATCTTAATTACCTGCATAGAACAAATCCAACACCTTTGGCACTCCAAACAAAGACAATTATCCTTTGTGAATACTAGTCACTGTTGCCACAGAAATAATAGACGAATCATTCATATAGGAATTGATCAGTTGTATTTGTCAAAGAGAGATTAAGAAAAGTAGCATGGGTTTCAAAACGTTAAAGAATTTTTGTTTAACCCTCTGTATTATATATCTTTTATATATAAAAGATGATTACGTTAAAGTATGTATTTGTTTGTTTATTCAGATTCCTATTAGCTATGCTATAACTATGTACGTAGGTGAACTGTAGATTGATTTTAACATTTTAAATTGTTTAAACCAAACTTTTATCCACTGATGGATTAAGATGAAAAACTATCTTCGCTCAAGAATATTCGGAAACGCTGGTTGTAACATTGTTTGTTTTTGTATTTGATGTAAGGCTAACCCTCTCATGAGAGCAAGAATCCCTTCTGCTAACATGTCCTTGACCGAGATGCTGAAACCAAGCCACTTCCTGAGAATCTGTCTACCACTGACCCTGCCCTCTGACCTTCCTGCAGAGGGGCCAAGTGAAAAGAGTAGTAGGGCAGACACATAAATAAATAATGTTAAAGACATTGCAGATATTCTGAGAGATGACAGAAAGGAGGGGGTGGGGGTAGAAGGAGAGGAGGCAGAGACAGACAGGCACCATACAGCTGACAATAGAGTGTGTTTGAAATAGATGCTGCTGCTATTTTCTCCTAATCTTAATGTGCTGACATATTATAATGGTTGAAGGGCAGCGCCACTAAATCAGCCAGGGATAGACAACAGACACAAACAAGAGATAATTGAATGCTAGTGAAGTGTTTATATTACACTGTGCATAATGCAATCAACATGCTCTTATTTCTTTTCATGCGTTTAGAAAGTGTACATTTCCATTGATTATTTGAACAGACAGATGCAAGATTTGGATATTATCGATTCAGTGCTGGCTGACTGACGGTTGCGGAGATAGACTCGCTTCATGAAAGTCATGAGCCGTTTTCTGTGGTAGAGTCGAGAGTAAATTGATTTGCCTGGGGAAAGGTGAAGGAAAACAATAGGCATGTCACTCAACAATAGGCCCATCACTTCTTCTGTCTCAGATTTCCATGAACCATGCCAAGCCTAGCAGGTGACTGGGTCAGACACGTCAGACTCCCCGCTCACCTGAGCTCACCAGCTGTTGCCATGCCAACAGGGGGGACAGGTCTTTGTGCCAACCCAACTTGCACATAGGCTGTGTACTTGTGTCACTGTTGTAGTGTTTCACAAAACATACGGTGTTGCATTGTTCAAAAGCCACATGATAACTGTACACGCAAATTAATAGTTTAAAGTTATTCATAGGCTCATAGATGAGAGATCCAACCAGACTGTTTTTCTTACAGCCATCAGCTAGCATTAATGGGGAGCATGGTTGCAGCGAAAAGAAATTATACTCTGAGATTGGACGTCATTACATGATTAAAAATGGTTAAATGAGGTGCTTTTTATTATTTAAATGGATCAGCTTCTCTCATTTAACACAGAAAAGTGTTTTCAGACATTTGGGGGCCTGTCTGTTTTTAATCATTTGACAACAATGTCTATGGTACATAGTCATGAGCTATATCTAGGTTTGGCTATATAGACAGCGCTTGTTGGTGAGATAAAATCATCGCTAGTGTTGTTTTTTCCATAGGGTTTGTTGATAATACAAAAGGATAAATAACTAGACTTTAACTAGAATTATTTTTGTATGGATAAAATAAGAATGGAACAGACAGAGAACATCCTGTGCTCTGCTGCTCGGATACCAATAGATATCCAATTCTTATTTTAGAGGAGGTTTGTAAAAAGAAACCCATGTGTAAACTTTAGTACTTTAAAGTCCAGTGTGTAGGATTCTAGCTGGCATCTAGTGGTGTAAACACTTGGGCCAGATTGCAACTCCCTCGCTCCCCCCCCCTCCAAAGAGTGAAGGAGAAATACGGTGGCCCCTGAAAACGCCCCTATCCTAACTCATTCCAGCTAACAAGAAAGATAATTCCTCATAATTCAGGTGATCATACTCTAATGAAAAACGTATATGTGAATATTAGTCATTTATTTCCTGCCAATAGATCCTCCTAAATGCTACAAATCGGAGCTTTAATTATCAATAACTTGTTTCTAAAAGGCTGACAACTGCGGTATATCTCAAAGAAGATAGCAGCAGTTAATGTGTTTGTTATTCATGAGCAGTAACATCCCTGCTGCCTGTTGACAAGCTGGTAAAGTGGCCTGCAAGATGATTTTTTTCCCTCTCTAGAGGAAGATATCCTGTCATACTGTTAATGAGTGTGCCTTCTAATGAGCCCAAACCCAAATTAGCATACATCCAATTACTCCATAGCTCAGGTTGCAGCTTTATTCAACAGCAGTATGTTGTTGGGAGCAGTTGAAATTATGGGGGTAAATACTTGAATTCCATACTTGATTTACGCTCTTGGTGTTGCTAAAGAAATAAAGTTAACACAGTCTTTCTGGTTAATTAGATTAGAAGTATTTGGGTTAATCAACTCTGATCTTTTTCTACAAATGAATGACCATTACATTTGAGTCACAGAGCTAAGCATCAGATTTTCCTTTCCTGTTTCTTGTAACAATGCAGACTCATATGTGTGGTGAACACTTGGACAGAATTGAATAAAAAGGTATAGTGTTATTAATTTATTTTTGTTAAATGGAAGTTATCACTATATTGATTGGGGAACGAAAACACAACAATTCATAAATTCATGTGATCTTACACGACATACAAAACATACCTATGAACATCATATATTTATAAATAAATATTCAATTTATGCCAATATATCCTCTTAAATGTTAAAATGACCTTTCAGGTTTTTCAAAGATTGCTGGGCGATTGTTTTCCAGAATATTGGATGCTCTGTGAGTCAAATATAAACGTAATACACGAGAGGCATAAATTGGGGCTATAAAGACAACAACTATGGCTTGTTGGTCGACTATAAATGGAACATTTTACAAGCTGAATGGACTTTTTGGAATGGAATTTACTCAAATCAGTGTGTTTGACTGATCTTGACCAAAGAGGTAAAGATTGACTCGGGGCAGATTTTCACATGAAAGAATGCAAATTGAATTGGCTACCGTTCCCAGCCCAGGGGCAACAGCAATCTGTGCTGCACAGTCACTATTACTTCCACAAAAGACAGAAAGAGAGACTTTAATGTTCAGGGCCCTACATCAAATAGTGCAATATATCAACATCTTAAAGATGACTTGAAATTGCTTAAACTCTAAGCAATCTAACACAATCAGAAAAGCCTGGACTGAAGAAGAGTGACATTTGATGGCATTAAGAAGACAGTCATAGAAGGCTTGCTGCCAACCGTCTGTTCAAATCTCTGACCTCTGTAATTTCATGCCACTCCACTTCCCATCCTGACAACAATGATGGGAGATAAAAGCATGCAATCTAAAGGGGAGTGCTGACTAGGAAAGCTTTGCAAATGAGACCCACTTTGACCTACTTACTGTACTGCTCAGTCTGATTTGATAGGAGATGAAAGCCATTTCCGGCATGAACAAATGAGATTAATGTAACTAGTCTCAATTGTTAGATTCCCTTTAATTAAGAATTGATTTTAAAATCAAATGACAGCCTCCATTGGCCTGGCTTTATACTCCTATTCTGTAATTAATATATGTTTATTTGCCTTTGAGAACACCAGTGCAAAAGCACGTTACCGTAAGTTAACTGATTATTTTATTTTTCCTCTCAGACACAAATACCTGAGTGCATTTCACCATGGTAGCCAGAAGTTGCTATGGATAGCTTATTATGCAAGGACACTTTGACAAGTAGATACTTGGGCTGTTACCTTTAGGATATGGCGGACTCATGGGATCACTAATGAACCCGGTCCCTTTATTTAGTGATGCCCCATTAGTAGCCATTGTAGCTGTCTAGAGCTCTCAATACTCCACCACGTACATTTTTTCCATTTTTTTTCCATTTACATTTCATTGTTCCCCGTCAACATACTATAAGCCCTTAGCTCATTCCATTTAACGATAACAAGTCTAGAAAGCTTTTAGAAGCCTGACTGAGTTTGAGAAACCATTGGATGGACAGGGAGAGGGGAATTTAATTATCCTGAATGTTAAAGCCCCCTCCTCTCCCCCTCTTGAGACATGTCTTGTATCCTGCCTTCATGTGCCAGCTGAGGAAGAGAGAAAGAAAGCCAAACCCACAGAGGATTTCTGACCACCCTTCAATGTGTGGCTATAAGTGTGAAATTGTTGCCATGGTTGACTGGTGCACCTGTGTGGATTTAAGGTTCTCAAATGTCTGAAATTCTGCCAAATGAAAGTCTTTCAGAAGAGGAAGCAGACATTTTGGAGATATGGGTTATTAAACTATGAAAAAATAATTGCAAGTGTTGATTAAGGTACATTAATTACTGTTGATCCTGAGGATTTTAAGCTACTCAGTTGGCCAACAAGTCTGGATCAACCTTGATCCATGGCCAGCTGTCCTTAAACCACTGGCATGCGGGTGCTCTACCAATCATCCAGAAGGAGTTCATGTAGAACGCCACTTTGATCTCTCTCATGACGTCAACCACACAGACCCCCAGTCAGAATAAATGAGCCTCAGAGTTTGCGAGGAGGAGGACAATTTAACAGCAGTAGCAATCTGCGATGCTATAAGGAGTTTTTGCCAAAGGCAGTGTTTGTTGTCGGTAAATCTCGCATGCTGTGGGGGCAGTGAGAGTTCAAAGTAAGCACACCAACTGTCACCTGTTGAGGGGAAACACACCACCCACTCACACACCTGTGTTTCTATTTAAACCCAAACGGGAAGTATGAAGGCAAGACATAATGCAGGTTTACTTTGCTTTTGAAACTTTGACATTTTATTATGTAATAAGACAATGGGTCACCAGAGGATAGAAGAGCTGGTAAATATGAGATATAAAGAACATTGTAACATACATTCAAAGTTTAAACATGACCCAAAACAACTGTTTATTGACCTGAACTGATAACTTGCCTCCTATATAAAACCTTGATCATTTGCTCAATGACAATCTAAAATCTGTAACATACAAAAGTTAAAATCCAAATACCAAAAATGTGCTACTACTGTGTGGAATGTAGAGTGTTTAAGAAACAGCATTCCCAACATGGTAAAATTCCAGTTCTATCATATATATGATGTAATGGTATATAAAATCACATTTAAGGATAGCAGTATATACAGTGCATGACAGAACCGTCATCCCCGAGAATTTTTATGATGGTGATCGAGTGGTTTTAACATAAAAAAAAAAAAAAAAAGGCACAGCACTCGTGTATTCATTTTCAGCAGAACTGTCATGCTGGTATTGCATGGTTTACGACTGGAACAGGTCACAGATGGCCAGGTGTGTTTTAGACACAGACAAGGCCGGGTAAAGAGGCTCGGTAAACCTGTGCTCATATGAATGCATCAAAGTTAGACTGCCCCCTGGTGTCACATTGAAGAATGATAAGATGCTCTCTTCAAAGTCGAGGAACACTCCTACCCTCTGCAGATCGTCTGCATCCACAGAAACCGCCACCTTGTTATGCAGAGCTTCCACCTTCCTTCTGTCACAGGCCAGGCACCAGGAGTACGAGTTGAAGCCCAGACGAGAGTTGTCCTTTTGACCTTTCCTCTCCATCTGACCCTCACACAGCCCCACCTTCCAGCGGCCCTCATCCACAGACACGTTCACCTCCCAGTACCAGCGACCCCCCTCCAGGGCACGAGAGGCCAGGACTTGTGGGAAGGAGCTGAAGCGAGCCTCGTGTTCGGTGTAGGCCTGTTGGGCTTCGCTGTAAGTCACCCTCCTGTTGTTATCAGACAGCTGCAGCTTGGGATGGGCTGTATCTGCATCCAAGAGGGGGATGCTACCATCTGTACAGAGGAAAGGAAATTACAGAAGAATTGACATGAGAACATCAAGACTAATTGAATTGGCCACCTTTGGGACCTCCAGAATGCATTTAGTAATTTGGTTTAATTGTGAGTGGAAAGTAAACTGGTGTTGGTATAAAAAATGACTCACAGAGCAGTCTGTAGAGGTCTCTGTCTTTGCCGGGCACAGTGATGACGACTGTGTCCAACCGTTTCTCTGTCCACCTCTCTAGACATTTCAGCCGGGCACGATCCACTTCCTCTGCAGCCTCGAACTGGCCCACACAGTTCCCCATGTTACTAGCCCTGGTGAAGAACAGAGTGAGCAGAGAGCATAAAGACTTAACACTGACCCCCTAAGGAAGGTGCAGTATATTGACACGGAGTGGACAGAGGCACAATGGGCAAATACAATACAATAAGGAGGAATATGATAGAAGTAAAAACATTCATAAACAAATATGCAAAAGAGCCAACAAACATATTTAAATGCAGCCGTTATTATATTAAATATATAAAGCTGTGAAAAAAAAAAAGGGACACACGCAGGGAAATCATACACACAACCATTAGATATGCCTGTCCACATAAAATGTACATTTATTTAACTTTTAACTTTAACTAAGTTAATCTAGCTTGTTCATAAAGGTCATAAAGCAGTTTCATAGACACAAAACTATTAAAGGGTTGGTTCACCAAAACAAACATTTTTCTCACTTACCTCTTGTGGTTTGTTGCCATGCAGATTTTTTTGGTCTGTACTGACCAATTTTTTAAGAAATCTGTCTCTGAGATTTTTGCCTAAACTCCAATATACTGAAGCTGAATGTAATTTTTGTTTCTTCCTATAATATTATAATGTATTCAAAAGCATATCTTTTCCTAGAGCATGTTTTTGTATGTTTATTCATAATAACGGCGAACCAACCTTTATAATAATAAAATGTTCATACGAGCCGTGTACTGAATCTATGTCTTGTTGGTAGCACATTTAGCTACTGACATTTCAACAAATTACTGCTTTACATGCAACTAGGTAGAGGTTGAGAGGAAATCACTTACAGATGGGCTATCTTGCTGTATTCCTGTCATGTGAGAAAGAAGAAAAAGACATTTCCTTGTGTTAGTATTTGTGACAGTAAATCTCATATTTTGCCAACAAACAGTTTTGTCTCATAACATCCAACACACCATAATGAAGGCCTGGTCCTGAATGCGTTTGTCTCCCTTGGCATCAACCAGCCCCTCCAGGGTGTGTAGTCCTCGCTGGATGGATTGCAGGAAGCTCCTGAGGTGGCCGAGTTTCTCCTCTAGCCCCCCCAGAACCCTGCTCTCCTCCTTCGTCACACACCGAAGAGCTGATTGCTCCTCCTGCTCCAGGGCCTCTCTGATGGCTCCATACTGCTGCTGCACCCCGGCTCTCGCCTCACTTAAAACCACCTGCTCGGACAGTGTAATCAAAGTCACTTAAAAAAGTTGATAAAAGAACTGTTGTTGGGCATTTTTTAAAACATGAATACATGGAGGACAAGTCTTCCAGTCTGATATGAAAAAGCGTGTGTGGTACACATGACTGTAGAAATGTGTTATTCATGTGTAGCTGATCATATCTGCTTATCAACAAAACTACAGTCTCACATGCTACAGCTCGATATTGGACACTAACGTTTTTCCCTTCTAAATAAGTGCATGATTTAGAGAGAACTATAGCTTAAACTCTCTTACGCTGAAGGTATTTTTCTTCTGTGTGAGTTCAGTCACTCTGTTCTTCACACATTCTTCGGACTCCTGTAGCTGCTTGATCTCTTCTTTTAGGTTCCCCTGAGGAAAAAAAGTGCACAGAAATTGAAAACAAAAATCAATTATTTATGTTTAGAGCCAACTCAACTTTAACCATAATTAATGTGTAGCTACAGTATATATGGTGCTGCAGAGTCACCACTTACCCTGAGCTCTCTCTCTGCCTCCCTGATGCTGATGCAGACGTGGTCGCGGTGCGAGCCTATGACAGTGCACACCGTGCACACGCACACTCCACACTGCCGACAGTAGATACGGTTTATCTCCTGGTGCTCCTGGCACCTCCAGGTAGAAATGTCCTCCATGGGAGGAACCAGGGTGTGATTCTGAAAGACAGGGGAGTCCAGGTGGGGACGCAGGTGCTCTTTACACATGGAAGCTCCACACACCAGACAGGTCTTCACAGCGGCCTGACACCCAGCTTTAGGGCAATAATGGCAGGGAACAGGGCTGGCATTTTTGCTCTCCGACCTGGGGAAGATGCCAACGCGGCTTGGGGATCCTGAAGCAGCGGCTGGTTGTTTTGTGGGTATCAGTGGAGTCTTGTTGACATGCTCTACAGAAAACTTATCTTTACCTGGAGTTGAGACCGCAGAAAAGGAATCAGAGTTGGCAGCTGAGGCAGCTTTCTTTGGTGGTTCATGAATTCCTGTCACTTGTGCGTCTTTCTTGGGGGATGTGAGTGGAGGTGCGTCACATATATCTACTTCATTGGAGCTGTCAGAGTCGTCTAATGGGATGACTTCTAATTCACGCTGGTTCTGCTGGATTGAGATGTCAGGTGGCACCTCACTTGCAGGTACTGTCTTGCTGTCAGAGTTGTCACTGGATGACGTGCCATCCCTATTCTTGGACTGTGTGGATTCTGGGCGCACAGCTTTCTTGGATCTCTCCACCCTAGACGACTGCCCAGGTTCATCTGAGAAGGAAGTGGTGGGAGTCTCTGTGTCATTGGACTGCTCACAGGAAGCTTTCACAGTTGATCTCTTTGCGTCAGGTTGCTCTGCCACAGGTGTGCTGGCCTTTCTCTTCCCGAGAAGTCGGCTAGTCAGTGATGGTCTCCTCAAAATTGACTCAAATGTCTTCTTTTCCTCATTACTGGATGTGCCTTTAAAAATAGAACAGAAACAAAGCACAGCTGGTCAGAGGGAGGGTTGACTTGAGCACTTTTACAGCAAACACTTAACAAAAACACCTGAAAACTGCTTTCAGCACAGCACAACTGTGTTCAACTTTTTACTGCCCACTGAGCAACTAGGCAATTCAAGCTATAACTGTAGGTTGTGAGTTATTACTGTATGTTCCCTTGTAAGCTCACTAAGGAACGCTGACACTGAGTTGGCAGCTGGCCATGACAAAGAAACCCTACTGGTTTTCTACTTAGTATGGTTTGGCCGATACCAGATCCACTTAATAAAGTCAATATCAACACAGATACTGTTCCTGCATATTATAAGGGGACCAGCCTAACAAATGACATAAACAGACCTTTATCCTTACTATTTGCTTAAGCCACAACCCCTGGCCTCACAACTGACCTCTGTACATTAAACAAACACTGAACATTACCACCATTTATTACAAAAGGAGCTAACAGTTAATGCTTATTCATTTCCTACAGCGTAGAAAGATTAAGGATGTGGCATTTTCCGGTGAATAATTCCAGTTAAAGGATCCGGAATTAGAAATAAGTTAATAATGTAACATTAGCCAGCACTAGCAATCACATAACGTAACGTAACGTAACGTACGTTGGCCTGATTTAATCTCTTACGTGACGCTATCATGTGAGAGGGAGAACACAAACGTCAACGGTTAAAACTGACGTTGGCGTTGTAACCGGTAACCGGTAACCGTTAAATACCGCCTTTCAGAAGTATCCGAGTACATGAAGTCGTTACCTGCCGCGCTGCCAGGCTGAGCACCTCGGTTGTAGGTGGGCGTCCGTATTAAACTTTTATCAAACGGCAGAGTCTGGTACACCATTTTACACCTCCACTCCGGGCAATGGTACGGCCCGTTCGGGGTAACGCTCCATAAGTCTCCAATGCATCGTTGGCAGAAGCGGTGGTTGCACTTCAGGGTGACGGGGTCCCCTGTCAGCTCGTTGCACAGAGGACACTTCGTCGGAGTGTCCAACGATGCACCCATTTTGTTTTTGCTGATGTGAAGTTTCTGTTTCCGCGATTGTAAGCGGCGGAGGCGGGGCTAAGCTGTTTGAATCCCGCTTCCTCCATGGCTCTTCCTCCATGGCTCCCCCTTCTTCTTCTTCTTCTGTTGCACACTGCCTCCATATTCTTATATATGTTTTTACCTTTTTCCTCCACTCGCCCCATTTTGTGTAATTGTGTCATCATTTCTTGTCTTTGTTGTGTACATTTCCTGCTGCAGGGTATGTTGCAACTGTCTCCCTTGTATTGGTTTTTAAGTGCATGCAGTACATGGATTTATTATCAGTGGTGGAAGAATTATTTAGATAATTTACCAAAAGTAAAAATAAATATTCCATTACAAGTAAGATTCCTGCATTCAAAATGTATTTTCATAGTTACAGTATGCATTGATTATAATATTAAGGGCCTTTAATAATGTTATACTGTAACCTAATATGTTTGGTATCATTAAAAAGATACATTATTGATCCATTCATTAGTTATTGATAAAAGTACAGAAGTATTATCAGGAAAAAGGTATTGTTAAAAGTATTCATTAGAATGGGCTATATATATATATATAAGTTATATGTATAGTGGATTATTATTATGGATGTGTTAAAATGTAAGCAGCATTTATTGTAGCTGGTTGAGTGGGAGCTAATTTTGGGCCACCCTCAGGTGTTTTAGGTACAAAGAAAATGCACTTCCCTCGGCAAAAAACATGTAATAAACATAAAACATCTTACACATACACATACACACAGCCCTGACTCCTGATACACTACAGTCAGCCAGTTTCAGCTGTCTATAGGCAGCGTTATGTAATTGGTTGACATTTGACTTCCAGTGAAAACGCCTGTGAACTCCTCTGATGTTTCCACAATAAATAGAACTTGTACCAGAGCTCAACTTCTTCCTAACATTTCCCCAGGTACCCGTTTATATTGCAACCCACTTGTATTGCTCATCATTTTCAGAATCAGAAATACTTTATTGATCCCTTGGGGGGAAATTTGTTAAATTTTGTTATTGGTTTAGCGTCTGGAACCCTATTTTACATTTACTAATTGTGAATTAAAACAGAATTTGGTAAAAGTTTTTACCATAAAAGGAGCTAACAGTTAACCAGTAGGCTATTTGTAATTTAGATTCTTAACAGGTAATTTCATGAATTCGCTCATTGTGCTCTTATCACATGCAATAAAACTAAATTATTTCTCATCCCACCCCTGGATACTCTCAAGGACTCCCACGAGGACCATAAACAACAAAACCACTCACAGCTTCTAACTACTCTTTTTCTATTCCTGATGACAAAGCCATCAGAGTGGCAAGAAATAGATTGCGCCTTAAAGTATTAACTGCAAACAATAGCATTTTCTCAAATTTTTCTCCCCCAACGACATTCTTGTCTTTATGGTGGTCTAGACATGTGATTTGGGTAAGAAGGTAATCTTTTATAATCTCAAAGAAATTTTATCTCTAAGTAACTGCGGGTTCTTGTTGCCAGGGAATATAAGGTGAGAGCTGTGCCTATATCTATAAATGTTGTGCTCTGACTTTTGAATGTTGTCTTGGAAATTAAAGGTTAGCATTGGAATAAAGTCACCTGTCTTACACAATAAGGGTTCACATCAAGCAATAAAGTGGGCTCGCTCTCTACTTCTTTATCTTCTTATTTCTTTTTGTCCTCTCAAACACATTTTGAGTGTTGTACACCAGTTTATGTAATCTAATTTCAACCCCTAAATTAGGCTCCATACATTTTTAATAAACAATCATACTAAGCATGCTAGCTAATCAATATATCCATTCATCAAAGTCTAACCATTGTTGAGCATGGAACTTTATTTATTCTTGACCTTGAACTATTCCAATTCATGTCCACATACATAATCCGTAACAGAATTTATGCTGTTTAAAACTAAACTTTTCATAAAAAAACTGATCATATTAATATTTGGTCGTTTAACCACATATTCATAATTATAGTAAATATACAGCTACTTTCTGTATAGTGACCCGTCTAAGTGACTTATTTTATTTCCTGTTATACACCTTGTGAAAAAGAGGAAGTTAACCTGACTGTTTGCATTTTTGCATGATTTATGTCCCCAAAGTCAGTAACTGTCTAATGTCCCACCCAATGACCATATTTTGCCCTTTAAAGGGGCATTCTAGACATTTTGCAATGCACTTGGGTGACTTGCTAAGTAGTACTAATAAATTGTAATAATCTAATCTAGTAAAATCAATGGAGTAACCCTTTAACAAAAATGTATCTCAACAAAATGAAGATAAAAAAAACCACAACAGCGTTTTACAGTGAAAACTTTTATTAAGTGTTCATATATCCTTAAATGAATCTCTTAAATTGCTCTAAGTTATCTCCTCCTCCATATTTGCTAATTGTTTGGTATCTATAGAATATCTATTTACACAGGAACATATCCACAGGTGAGGCTGGGACAGGCCTTACTAATCCATCACTACTAGAGCTCACTCCTCAGGCACACTATACACATTACTCCGACTCCATCATGTTACCCTGTATGTCCCAACAAAACAAAGTGAGAAAGAGAATCAGAAACAGAAATAGAGAGCTGGAGACAGAGACATACATATTTAGCTACACAACAGGACAATTGTGTGTGAGGCTGGCATATTGGTTCACTAGCCCAACAAACACAACGCATTCACACCAACAGTCACATATGTGCATGCACTCACTCACACACACAGACTTCCCTACACACACATAGAGAAGCACACTCACACAGCAGCTACGAGTCCTGCAGCACACAGTCCTAATAGCCCCCATCACAGTGTAAGATACCACAGACTATAAAATATTAGATTTCTTCTCAAACTGAAGCGCTGTGCAAAGTTAGCTAGCAGGGCATTGAATGGATTTAGGTAAAATTCCTAGAACATCTTTAATATTCACTGTACATACTTTGTAATACAAGTTTTATCTCTTTTGGATGATAATATTCTTATAAAACAGTCTTAAATATCTTTTTTCTAGTAAATGAAGAGGAACAAAGGGGCGTATGAGGAAGAAGGAAGAAACTAAAACTTTCATTTCTTTGTCAAACCTTAAATATGAAACACAATAGATTTACATCAACCCGACATTATCCTGAAAATGAGAAGTTTCTTCTTTTCACAAATAAAACATGACACACACACATTCTGACAGTGGTACACACGGCTAAGTGTTAACATAGTTTAATACATGTAATTACAGAGATTGTTGATGTTTTGTTTGAATGTACTGTATGTGCAGATGTTACAGAGTTGCGTTTGTGCATGTGAGTGAGGTGGCGCGTGTCTGTGTGTGTGTGTGTGTGTGTGTGTGTGTCTGTGCTCGTACTGCAGGTGTACAATGTCAACCCTGTGCCTTCTCGGGTAGGTAGTGGGTAGTCCATATACTTCTCATAGGGATAACAGTCTCTGCCCCTGTCATGGTCTATGCGATGTTGTGCAAGGGTTAGCTCAGTAGAGAACGAACCCTTGGGCTCCATCTAAGTGCTGGGGATGATGGTTTAGGGAATGCAAGCAAGATTTATGGACTTGGAGGGTCGGTTACACTGGGTTTTTGGCAGGTAGATGTGACAGGCAGGCTGGCTGGTTCCATAGTATTTTTCTCATTCAGAGACTTTGATTGCCTCCCTCCTTTAAGCTGATGTTGAAGGACTGGTACTTCATGAAAACAGACAAATGGGAATTCAGGAACCTGAAAGAAAGAAAGAAAGAGTATGTTTTTAAGTGCTCTATTTAGTGGTCGACAGTAATTAAGTATGCAAGTACTGTGCTTCAGCACAATTTTTATGTACTCGTCCTTTACTTATCTCCATTTCATACTACTTTAAACATCTGCTCCATTACATTTATTTGACAGCTNNTTTTCAGATTAAGATTTTACATAAAAACAGTTAAAAGCTTATAAAATACAGTGTATTGTTAATGATTACACGTGGTTCCTACCCTTCATGGAATATGAAAAAAAAGCAGATCTAGATGTATCTATTATCTCCTCGTCACTTTTTAGATGTCTATGAGTTGTTAACAGATCAAACAAAGAGTGATTTGTTCTAAAAACAAGATGATTACATTTGAATAAGAGTTTAAGGCCCAAAGAAGTAAAATTATTCAATATATCATAAAAAAAACAAAAGATTAGAGAGCAGTCTAAAAAAATGAATACAGATGTGTGTTGCAGAACCTTTTCTTCTTTCCTTCCCCATTAACCCTCAGCTACAACAATACAATTATACTTTGGCATTGTTGCATTATTATTAACAATCTAATAATATATTATGTAATAATATATTGGTCGCAAAGGCCTTTTATCTGAAGACTGAGTACTTTTGAGTATATTTAAGTAAAGAGTACTTCTTCCACCACTGATATTAAGGTACTTGTACTTACCTTGAGTATGGAATACTTTATGCTACATTTCAGAGTAAAATATTGTACCTTTCTCCACACTTATTTGCTAACTATAGGTACTTATTATATTATACTTACCTATTAAAAATTTTGTTTAAATAAATTAATTGCTATGTTTACTTAAATAAAAGATCTGAGTACTTCTTCCACTGAAGGGGGTTAAAGGAGGCAAAGAGTGTGGATTCCTATTTATATTAAATTTACACTGTTGTACTGTGCATGGAGACACAAATGACATTTCATGGCTATTAAATATTAAAGAACAATCACATTGTGCATGCTTTCATAATGCATGAGTGGTGGCTCTTTGTCATACATTGATAGATCAGCGTGTATATATTTCACAATGTATGTTTTGTCTTTACTTACCTAAAGATTTGTTTAGGCATTGCCTCCCTCTGCAGAAACAAAAACACAGAGAAAATATAAAAGTGCTACAACAGACAAAAGTGCTATGACACGGCTCTCAAGGTCATGCTATTAATAGACTCTCATGTTCACACATTGTCAAATACATGCATCCTTCACAATGACTGGTTGTATTGCACACAAACACCAGTAGATGGCATAAGGGATGAGCTAAAGGGTGAAAGTCTGTTGAGCTGTAATGAATTATTCATAAAAGGTATTCAGGTTTTCTATTCTATGAAATTGTCGATAGATCTTTCATTTTGTATCTTTAGCTTATATTTGTCCTTTGAAGGTCACCGTAGTTTGAGATGAGAAATTGCAAACATCTGCACTGAGAGTTGGCCGTATTACTTAGAGGATATTGTCGGCTACATCCACAGATGGTTAAACGTGGTGCTATGATGATGTTATATGCGTATTTCTGTCATAGTAAGAAAGTCTCTTCTGCCCCTTTGTTCTTTTCTTTTTCCTTTTTTCAGTCTCATTCTTTCTCCCCCACTTTAATGTGCTGTTGGTTGCCCATGCTTGTCTGGTTCCATTACAAACTACAGGGCATGAACATACTAATCCCATTCCCCACTGGGAAACATACCTGGACCCAGGTCGTTTCACAGTAAATCACTGTATAAACCTGTGATAGTGACGCAGAATTTGCATGGATGCCAGAATGGGTCAGGCTATTCCCATGACTAAATCATCACATCCTCTGAGTGTATGGTGGATCTTTAATGGGAAAGTGATGTTTAATGGGGGCAGGGAGTCTGTCAGATATCACTACTGTCTTTCATCACTGCAGTACAGTATGGAGCATATATGTAACTTGGATAGTTATGTTAGATAATAATGACATGTAATTCTAAGAATGTTCTGATTGAATATACAATGATTGAAGACACAAAACCCTGTGACTCTGTCTGTGTAAACCATTTTATATCCAAAATTTTCAGTGAGAACAAATGCTCATTTCATAACAGCGCATTCAAAATTGCAAATAACTAGATGTGAAAATTAAAAATTTGGCCAGGATCAGTTAAAACATTTCAGCAGAGACCACGAACATGACTGGAATCAAAATGGGTCCAGAATAGAAACTATTTTATTTTGGGTAAGCAATTTTCAGGCTTGTGGGCAAAAAGGGTGCTTATTAAGGTTAATGTTGAAAGAAATTAGTGCACATGGTTGCTTTTTTTTGCCGTATTAAATCCATTATTCAAAAGCAGGCTCATGTAGTCATTTTGGTTATGTCCAAATTTGTTTTATAGCTTCCTAAATTTAGTTTTGTTTTTATAGAGGCTACATCAAAAGCTTATTACATCAATATTTTGGCTTTAAATACGAGAGCGTACCGAATGTGATCCTTTTATGAATTCAGCTCATATAATCTGTTTGCCAGACTAGTGTGTTTAATCACTACATTAATGTGTACACTTTCAGTCTGGTGGAAAATCACATGGGTTGTGATAAATTACACTCTTCTAAAAACTAAATTTAAAGTATTCTCATTTACTTTAAGTGTAGGCTTTTCCCAGCCCACTATAGCACAAATTGCATTGAGAGTGGTCTTTGAGAGTCATTTGTCTGATACCACTTGGCCAAAAAAAAACACCCTGATTCCACATCAGTGACTCTAAGATTTACAACCCAATACCTCAAATATTTGAACTTAGAATTGGAAATTAAGGGGAGTTCTATATGTATTTACTATACATGTGATAATCGTGGAGAAATATTTGAGTTTACTAATTATTAATAGTTCTAATAATTCCCAAACTAGAAATATAGATTTTTTTAAATAAAAAAGGTAGCTTGAAGATCAAAATAGCTGTCCTACACCCACAATTTAATCATTTTAAGTTCACATGTTGGCAAGTGGCAGTCCTGTTGAAGTTTTCTTAAATAAGACACTAAATCCCAACATGCCCCAGAGTTGCTACTCCTAATATGGCTCTGACTTTCTAGCACGGTGCACAAGCACAGAGAGACTTTCCCAAAGGAGATCAACGAAATGTCACATTTTTATCAGTTTAGATAGTAGACTCTCACCCTTGCTCTCAGCCAGCAGCTCTTCTGTCATGAGTCCATCCTGCCGGTTCCCCAGGACGAAAGCCAGGAAGGAGAGAATGAGAGCGTCCAGGATGCCCATAATAGCCAAGATATAGGCCCAACGCACTGAGCAGGCCCCCAGGCTGTATTTGTCTGTCTGCTCTCCACACATCCGCCGGACCGCATCACTGTCCCAACCATCAGGATAGATCATACAACCGAGCACCAGACAGACACCTAGTTAGAGGCAGAGAGGGAAAAAAAAAAAAAATGCCAACATTAGGGGGAACAGTGGATGGAAGAGAGGCAGGAGGAACAAAATGTACAAACAGAACAAAAATGTGTTTTGGGGAAATGTGCAGTGTTATAAATGAGGTCAGGGATATTGAGATTATGTGGGCAAATGAGAGATAAAGAAGAAGTGTGATCATTTCAAGTGCTTTAAAAATCTGTACCTTTATATTCTCAGCTCTGTAGATTTTGCTGTGTTTCTATTGTACTTATCATATAGATTTTCATTCTCTCCCTTAGGTGGGAAATAGGGGTCTAGAAACAATGAGTGCCAGTGGAGCAGCAAACAGTAGTAACCAATTACAGCAGCAGTCATAGCCAGACACAATAGCAGTAAGAGATTCAGTGTGTAGTAACGGCTATGATAATATGAAATGTCCTCAATAATTGCCTGGTATTTCCTCACATTCACATAGTTTACTTCAACGTCTCTCTCACACTTGGCTTTTAAATAGTGGTCATTCTCAGTTGTTGCTAATGATCATCATCCTCTTCATTTTGGATCTCTTCAGTTTAAATGAGATTCTTCTCTGCTGTGATGCTGTGGCAGAACAGCACAACCCCCACTCTTTGGCTTTTAACTAAGCACTCCTCATTCTCAGTTTTTGCCCTAAGGGGTAACATCTTGCTCATCTTCAATTTGGATGAGGTTCTCCTCTGAGGTGATGTTGCAGCAGAACAGCAGCAGACCTGGAAAAAGACGCTGACTTCACAATTACCTAGAATGCATTGCATATTAATAATAAAACATACTCCCCACTTCTTTTACCCCAAAACACTTGCTTGCTATGTTTCCTCCCTGAATGCAAAGTGTTTTTGTAGTCGGCTTCAGGCTTTTGAACATTACTCGGGGATTTTATTTGTACACCTCTTAAACAGATATGTGTTATATATGTGTGTATTGTCCTTATTTGTATCTTCTCTGGCTTCTCCACATTCATACAACCAAAAGTGAGAACAATATGCTGTCTTCAAGCTGCCCACACATACGCATTAAGCACTCACACACTGCAGTTAGTTACAGTAATGCTGCAGTCTTTAATAGTGCTGAAAGACATCAGGGGGTGTTGAGAGATGTTTCAAAGAGAGCAAGTGAGTACGAGGGAGATTACAGAGTAGTATATGCTGCAGACAAACTGCATGCCTAACTCCTCCTCTACCTCCCCTCCATAGTTCTAAATGTCATAACAAATTTATATGCACACAGAGGTTCAGAGAGTTAAGACTCAGGTACTTATTCGGACTCATATAGATGGATGGAGGAGGACTGCAATATACTATTGTATTCATTACATTTCTATGCCACTTGGTACAGAAAATTCCTTTACTTGATAGCTAAACCACATGTAATTAACAGAAATCAGTGTCATGTAGCAATAACATTACGGTTCTACTACAACCCTGGTTTCATGAATGTACAATTAACTGTCTACAGGTAGCATCACTGAAGTGACAGACCCTTTTCACTAAAGCAAGACTTAACTTGAGCTTGACAGGTTGTGATAGGGCATCACTACGACCTATGTCACTCAGCACAACTGAGCGCTATATAGCATCACAGTCTGTCAAACGTCCTTTAAAGTCTAGTTCATGATTCACCTCCTTGGTGAGTGTCACTGAGGCTTAGATGTACATCGTAACCAGTGAGAGGGCAGAGGCAGAACAGGTCCAGTTCTACCTGCATCACATAAAACCAAACCTACACAATCTCTCTGCCTGTCCACCTCTTGCTAACAAGTCTCCAATGTCCTTGATACACTGACAGAGACAGAAGTTGACTGTGGCTACAGAGACAACGGAGCAGGCCCTACATTTACACAAATGTACTGCTGGACCAAAACCACCTTTTCTGTAAAGTGGCTCAGGGCAAGACCATAATATGTTCAGCAATATAAGGTGTTTGACAAACAATTAAAACTGTAACAATAGTTGCACTTAACTGTAGATAGATACCACCGAGAGAGAGTTTGAGTTTGCTTCAGTCAGTGCAGAAAAAAGGAGATAAAACTGTAACGTGTAACATGGACATGAAATCTATATTGAAAAGCTAAGTTTGAAGTATAGCTGGCCACAAAAAGAAATAGTAAGTTGCTGTTAAGCTGGTCTTAATTTGGTAAAATGAGAAACCTGCAAATAGGAAACAATATTTCCTTTCTTGACATTTTGTGACTTTATTATTAGACTGAAACAGCTAATAGAGCTGTAACCTACCTGTACACTTAGCTAACCTACCTGTACCTCTAGCTGGTGAACATAATGGAGCATTTATCAGCCAAAGAGCCAGGTACTTTCCAAGGAGTTGGTAGAAACTACAAACAGCTAAAAGGAGAGTGAATATTGGACTTCATTGGAATATTGGAATTCATCAGGTGGCCAGAAACACAACTCCAAATGGATGCTATGTGAACAGTGAGACTGAAACAATAAAGTAAAGCTGTGGGCCGGACAGCTCAACAGTGAGCTAAAACTCACTATAAAGATACAGGTGATAATTCTCTGTGGGATCATCACTACTTGTAGATCCATGAATAAATTAAATTAAGGGTGAGGGCTCGTTTTCACTGCAGTGAGGATTGTCAGGCATGTTGGGACTTGGTTCGATAAAAAAGCCTTATTGCTTTATTTATTGCTCCTGCCTCGAAAAAAAAAAGCTAAAGACAAATAGTATGAATTTGAAATGAGGTAACACAGTAAGGTTATTACAAATATATTATGATAATAGAACTTACATCTGCTATTTTAAAGTGAGCTGAAAGCTGAACTCGTCAGTCAGCTCGCATATTAAACGGAGACCTAAAAGGGAAGCTGTCCATACTTGCTTTAGGTGCTTCACCATTGGGGCTTTGTAAAGTCTGAAATCATAAGTAGTGGTGCATTGATATGAAATTAAATTAAATGAGATCCTACCAACCGTGCTTCTTCTAACTGCATGAGTGCTTTGTATATCATAGGGGTTTTATGTAACAGGTTTCACTTAACAGAGGGAGTGCCATGGAAGACCAAATAACATTTGATATTCTGTGAGTCAATGCACATTACTATTCTTTTTCCCTCATGATGCATTTACTACAAAGGTAACAAAAGCTTTTCCAGGTCCTTCTGGGTGTATCCTGCGCGCCTTTGGCTCGATTTAACGCCATCATGAATAATACATTGAGGCTCAGAAGGGAAGAGAAGAGGAGCGCACAGCTCTGGAGCAGGTGAGAGAGAAAGAGACTGAGGATGCAGGAAAAACATGAATAAAAGAGGTGTACACTGACAAATGTTGATAGCATCATTGGAGGGAGAGACCAAGAGACACAAAAGCAGTCAAATATCTGTCACAGTCACTAGTGAACACTGTAAAATATCTACTCCAAAGCCTGCCTCTGCAGATGAACATCTCTGAGGGATGCACTGACAAGGATTATACCAACAGAGGGTGCCACATATGCCACTCCTGTTTCCAGAAACAGCTTGTAGTTAAAGGAGGAGCACATGTCCCCTCCATACACTGAAACAGTAAGCCTGGAGTCAACTAATCCATAACCACACAACACAACACAACAGGCCCATCACAGCATCCGCTTACATAACGAGGAGCTTAATCAAAATTCACAGAGGAAAATAAAAACTATAGCACCTTACAGCGTATACACCCAAGTTAATAATACCAAAGGGAGAAAAAGGGATTCACTTGTGGGCTTGGCAGCTTGGCATTTATGTATAGGGGTCAGTCATTTTGGAAAAAGATAATTGACTGTTGAGTCTCATGGTCCCAGGTTGCTTTGGCAACAAAAATCATCTTTATTTAACAACCAATGAGACTCAACAGTAAATAATCTTTCTCCAAAATAACTGACCCCACCTTTAAACTTTTACCTTTAAAATACTTCTCTTCCTGTATGGGAATTCTGAATACATTAATAGTATCTCAAATAATATACTACATATATCACTTTTTCTAAAATTCAAAACAATTAATTTATTGAGAATTAAATAAAAAATGAGTTATGATTATAACATATATAATGTAGATGTAAGCAGATAAAGGTGTTAATGTATAACATAAAATATGTCTTCATATGAGAAGTTATAATTGTTGACAAATACTGTAGATTAATAAACACATTAAATGTTTAAAAATTGACCTTATAGCTGCTTAATAGTGATTTAAACACCAGTTATTAAATGTTTATATACTGCCAATGAAAGCTAAATAGGGGGACTTGGGTAAAGTAAACATTATCTCATTATCTGCTGGTATCTGCTGGCTTCACCCACTCGCACTGCATTGGAGCAGAATTTCGTGCTGCAGTAATAAGTGGTGTGCTCCCGATCCTGGCAACAAAAATAACAGCACACCTGACAGAATGCAGCTGTCAGACGGAGCGGAGACATGATATTAACTGACGGCATTATCCTACCCTTTCAGCTTTGCCCTTCTCTCCGTCTCTTTCCTGCTCTATCTGGAGAGCAGGAGGATAGCAGCAGAAAGGCACAGAGAGAGAGGAGAGACAGATTATGAGGCAGGGCAAGGCAGAGATACACAGAGGGAGGAGGAGAGGTGGTGAGAGACAGAGCCCATGTAGGGTGCCATGCTCCAGCCCTGTGTGTGGCCGCCAGCAAGTACCTAGAACCACACTAACGTCATGAGCACTGGCTACCATATGCTGGAGCCCCTTGGCGGAGCTATTCTCAGCATTTACTCATTTCTGTCTTTTACACACACACACACACACTGATACACACTTCTCTCTGTTTGTCTCTTTTCTCTCCCTAGGAACACCGGGATCATGCAAATGGAAAACTGGACTGAGAAATGCTTGCTGGCTTATGTAAGAGAGACTGTAGGTAGGGCAGATTAGGTGCAAACAGGAAACGGGAAAGTCTGAGGGCAGACAGGCAGATGGTACAGAACGGTATGATGGCGGTAGATTTGTCAGAAGCAAATTGGCTCATTTTCC